TTTTTTTTTACAATCAAACACAATAAAAATTCAACAAATATCTAATTTCGAATGTTTTATATGCAAGTTAAATAGGTCTTAAGGAAACTTTTGGCTTGTCTCACGAGGCCACAGGAGGGCGCAATGAGCAAAACAATGCAGCACATTTAAATTGTCAATGCAAGGAAATAAATGTCTATAAAAAAAACCTGCATTACGTCTAAATGAACTCATATAAATCAAATATAATTTTGTAAATTGCATAAACAATTATGAACAAAACTGCGTTATATATTTATGCATTGCTTAATCCAAAGAGCCGAATCGCCCATCACACAGACTGCAGGAAAAGGAATAAACCTCCACAAATTCGCGACGTGTTTTCTAAAAGTTTAAACTGTTTTAACTTTTCATGGCTACATCTCTTGTGTGAGACGCGAGTGCAGCAGTCATATTTGCCCGTCTAAAAATTTGCTGAATATGCGTTCTGTGTGAATGGCTTGGTTTCGGTTTTAACCCATTCAAGATCTTCTCCGCATTGGGCTTCTATTATATTTCTCTAATATTTTGAATGCATGACACAGCAGTGGCAATCTCGTGGGCTAGACTAACAAAACATTCAAATGCAACAACGTCACTTTCATCATCATCACCGCATCTCGTGCACCACTGATGACGCTCCCTGACGCACTCCTAACATTCAAATACAAATGTTTATTTTAAATTTGACTAATATGAATTTTTTTTATTCACAATCTCCGCATCATAGGCAGGCACAGCACTCAATTCAGCATGTGTTCGTGTTTGTGTGTGCTGTCTGCATCACTCATAGCATGTGCCTATATCATGCACTATATCGAACATTTCTTATATCGTTATCAAGGAAGGTGTACCATCGATAAATATCGATACTGTTTTATCGCCCAGGCCTAATGTATATATATATATATACTATATATAATGTGTGTGTGTTTGTGTCACTGTTTTTCTATAAACTTTTCTCTAGCACTCCCTTGTGCAGATTGAAACCACTCGTTTTGTAAGATGTTTATTATAAATGTGTTTCATTTTGAGAACAGCATGAGAATTAAAGGCTTACAAGTCATAAAAGTATCAAATTGGTCTCAGATGTTTCTCCTAAAATGCTTTAGGAGAAATAAAAAGTTGCTGCTGAGTCAAATTATTTGCATTGTTGTTTATAGCAAAGTAATGTTACACAGTTCTGTGTTTAATAATGTTTTAGAATCAATGGCTGTCTGAATGATGAATTATCAGTGTATACTTGTGCCAGTCTGGGCTTTGCAGGCTTCTGGAGGAGAACTGTATTGCTCAGGAGACATAATAGAGTTCTTAATTATACATACCAACTTCATCTTTGATGTGCTTCCTAAAATCCCACAGGAGAGATAAAAACAGAAATGAGTCAATTGTTAGCATAAAAGTAAGAGAACAGAGCTTTAAAAATAATGTACAGTGCTGCTTGAAAGTTTGTGAACCCTTTAGAATTTTCTATATTTCTGCATAAATATGACCCAAAAAATTATTAGATTTTCACACAAATCCTGAAAGTAGATAAAGAGAATCCAATCAAACAAAGGAGACAAAAATATATACTTTGTCATTTATTTATTGAGAAAAATGATCCGGTGTTAAATATTTGTGAGTGGCAAAGTATGTGAATCTTTGCTTTCAGTATCTGGTCTGACCCCCTTTTGCAGCAATAACTGCAGGTAAAGTTTCTTGTAACTGCTGATCAGTCCTGCACAACAGCTTGTAGGAATTGTAGCCCATTCCTCAGTACAGAACCACTTCAACTCTGTGATCCTTCTATGAACTGCTTGCTTCAGGTCCTTCCACAAAATTTCAATTGAATTAAGGTCCGGAATTTGAGTCATTCCAAAACATTAACTTTGTTCTTCTTTAACCATTCTTTGGTAGAACGACTTGTGTGCTTGGGGTCGTTGTCTTGCTGCATGACCCACTTTCTCTTGAGATTCAGTTCTCGGACAGATGTCCTGACATTTTCCTTCAGAATTTGCTGGTATAATTCAGAATTCATTGTTCCATCAATGATGGCAAGCCGTCCTGGACCAGATGCAGGAAAACAGGCCCAAACCATGATACTACCCCCACCATTTTTCACAGATGGGATAAGGTTCTTATGCTGGGATGCAGTGTTTTCTTTCTCCAAACATAACACTGCTCATTTAAACCAAAATGTCTCATCCATCCACAAAACATTCATCCAGTATTCCTCTGGCTTGTCCACGTGATCTTTAGCAGACTGCAGATGGGCAGCAATGTTCTTTTTGGAGAGCAGTGGCTTTCTTCTTGCGACTCTGCCATGGACACCGTGGTTGTTCAGTGTTCTCCTGATGATGGGCTCATAAACATTAACATTAGCCAATGTGAGAAAGGCCTTTTAAAAGTTAGCCTGCAGTCCTTTGAAACCTAGTGGACTTTTACACGTCTTGCTTTTAGAGGGATCTTTGTTGGTGGAGCACTTCTGGGGAGGGTAACAGTGGTCTTGAATTTCCTCCATTTGTACACAATCTGTCTGCACCTGACTGTGGATTGGTGGAGTCCAAACTCTTTAGAGATATTTTTGAAACCTTTTCTAGCCTGATGAGCAACACCAACTCTTTTTCTGAGGTCCTCAATGATCTCCTTTGTTCTTGCCATGATACACTTCCACAAACATGATCAGGCTTTGAAAGATCCCTGTTCTTTAAATAAAACAGGGCACGCACTGACACCTGATAGTCATCTCACTGATTAAAAACAACACTGAAAAATGAATGGACTCTAATTTCACCTTCAAATTAACTGCCAATCCTTGAGAGTCACATACTTTTGCCACTTACATATATGTAATATTGTATAATTTTCCTGAATAAATAAATGAAAAAGAACATATTTTTGTCTCACTTGTTTGTTTGGGTTCTCTTTGTCTACTTGTGTGAAATTTTGATTATGTTTTGTGTCATATTTATGCAGAAATATAAACAATTCTACAGGGTTCACAAACTTTCAAGCGGCACTGTATATAGCAGTTCATATCATGGTCTTGGAAGAATTTAATAAGAAATGTTGAGTTCATATTGGGATTTTTTATATTTGATTGCAGACTTTGTCGAATGAGCAACGCTTGAGACATTGCTGAGACCTAGGAGAAACATGAGCATATTTTTCTCAGTAGAAACATCGCAGCCTGCACTTTTGCTGAAGCTCTTCACTTAAGCTTACTGTCATGTGGGAGCCATTGTGATTTTAAGGAAGATCTCAATTATGATTTTTAGGTTACACTTTACTTGAAGGGGTGTGCATAAGACTGACATGACACCTTCATAATCATGACATGACACATACATAATCATGACATGACTCATGTCATGAATATGAAGTTTTTTATGCATGTTTATGACAACTGTCATTAAGTGTCATTCGCTCAGTTATGTAATTTTTAATGCAACGATGACATTGTTTGAGATGTCTTTGTAATGGGCTATGGTTAGGGGTAAGGGTAGGGGTAGGGTTAGGTTAGGGTTAGGTCAAATAATGTCATATTTGCATTACAAATTACATAACTGAGCGAATGACACATAATGACAGTTGTCATAAACATGCATAAAACCTCCTTCATATTCATGACATGTGTCATGTGTGCGGCAGTTGTCCGCTAGGGGCTGCCGCTTTACTTTCACTTTGTGTTTGTTTATTTTATTAAAGTTTTCTTTAAATGTTCCCCGGTTCCTGCCTCCTTCTTCCCGTGACTACGAACTGTGTTACATTGGTGCCGAAACCCGGGAGGAAGGAGGGACACTCTGTCGGAGAGCCCTCGCTGCTGAGGGGGATCACGGTGCTAAGGAGATCGTGGAACAATTGGAGAGACCGCTGGTGGCTGCCCGAGGTGGTGGTGCTGGAACTATGGAAGACGAGGTGGGACGGAGAGCTCGCTGCCGCGCTCCTGGGTCGAGGAGGGGTGGCTGCCATCCGAGAGGGAGCGGAGGAGTCGGCCCCGTTCGACAGGAGGCTGGAGCCTGCTGCCGTCCGCCATGATTGGGGACTCGCAGGGAATGGGGGACTCGCTGCCAGCTGCCCTCAACAGGAGGAGCAATCGCCGTCCGCCAGGAGGCGGAGGAGTGGTGGGCCGTCCACCAAAGATGTCCAGTACCATCGCATGGTACCGCGAGTGAGAGCCTCTCAGCTGGTTGTGGACCAAGCCGCAGTGTGTCCGGGAACTGGACCGATAATTTATGTCCAGTACCATCGCATGGTACCGCGAGTGAGAGCCTCTCAGCCGGTTGTGGACCAAGCCGCAGTGTGTCCGGGAACTGGACCGATAATTTTTTTTTTCCTTTTCCTCAAAGGAGGAGCTACGACAGTGAACGACGAGAGAGGACCAGGCCTGGATTGTGTTTTGTGTTTTGTGTGCGGCAGTCGTCCGCGAGGGGCTGCTGCTTTAATTTCATTTTGTGTTTGTTCATTTTATTAAAGTCTTTAAATGTTCGCCGGTTCCCGCCTCTTTCTTCCCGTGACTACGAACTGTGTTACAGAACAAAAGGAAAATTTTTTGGCCTAATTTAAAATTGGCATCAATGTTGAACTGTTGAAACATTTTCTCAGACTCTAACAGTAGTGTAAAAGTCAAAAGGCATGGGGGCAAAAGCTGATTTTGGCCTAATTTAAAATTGGCATCAATGTTGAACTGTTGAAACATTTTCTCAGACTCTAACAGTAGTGTAAAAGTCAAAAGGCATGGGGGCAAAAGCTGAAAATGAGTTGACGAAGCAGTTTTAAATGAGTCTAGATCTGGCCATCTCCTCCTTTTGACCTGTGTGGTGACGGAGCGGATCTGTTGGGTTTGGTTGGAGGATGCTGATAGAACAGAAGTGCATACAGTAGTTGTGCGAGCTCAGCCTATTACACGCCTGTCTGAACAGAAAGTGATTTCTGGAGACTCTCGGGAGAGACGAACTCTGAATCCCACCACCGTCGACTCCACAAGCAGAGGCGTGTTCCAGATTCTCACAGTTTCTTCTTGCTCTGTGTTACTTGAGGGTTTAGAATGGCTGTCATCCAGACCTTCTTGTCTGGCTTTACTCTGTGTTGTTGCCCTGCAAGAATATAACAGTTATAATATGTAGTTTTTGCGTTTTTGTTCTTCACAATCCCCAGTGTTAATAGTGAAAATGTCTCTTTTTTGTGTTCCATAGAAAAAGATCATGCAAAAAAGCATGCACTCCAAAAATTAGGCCTAAATTGAAGATTTATGTATTTTAATTACACATGAAATTTCCATCCATTTGGATTTTAACAAACTAATAAACTTAATGTGATGCATATTTGTCAGTCATACATAAATGAGTTGGCTAAAGATTCCTGTATTAGTACTAATAAACTGAATGCGTTTTAAAAACAATAAGCAGGTTTACTGAATAACTGAATCAATTAAATTTTTTCATAAATGTTTTATACTTATTCTAAGCAGTTTGAATTAATGTTTTTATATTAGTATAATATTAAATATTATTACAATTTGTATTATTATATATTATTATATTTTTTTAATGCAAAGTCGTACCTGTTTTTAGTTTTTTCATTTATGTATGGCTGTCAAATATGCATCGCATGAAGTTTAGTAGGTTGGTGGAACAAGCAATATTCAAATAGTTAAAGATTTTACAAGTTTTTACACATTGACGATAAATATACTGTATAAATCTGGTTTATGTATATTTAAAAATTCACTTTATTAGCACTGTTACAGAAATCTGGCCTGTTTCATTGATGTATGACTGACATATATGCATCACATTAAGTTGATTTCTTTTTGTTAAAACTGTGCAATCCAAATGAATGGAAATTGTAAATGCAATTCAAATACATAAGTCTTAAATTTAGGCCCAAATATTTTGTTATGATGACTGTATGTTGTTGTATTTTCTAGGTGAGCTGTAAAGTTGGTTGACGTAGGTCAAATAGACAGTAGTGTGAGTAAACCTCGGGGATTCCCGTTGCAGCACTCGTCTTTCTCTCATCGCTCTCTCCCGTGTCGTAGTAATCAGTGCAGTTGGCTCCGGTTGCTCCACAGTGAGCCGCGCGTTTGATTGGATCATGCATCATTGTCTCCTCAGTGATATTCTCTTCCTCCTCAGACTCATCTATCAATATAACCTGCTCAGCTAATGCAGAGGAATGGATTCCCTCTCTTCCCCGTCCCTCTTATCTCGCTCTCACTCCTTTAATTTCATTGTGTTCCATCACACGCTGTTTGCACTGATGGACTTGACTTCACATTGCAAGTCAGGGAATTATGATACATTGATTCGCCAAAGTTATGCATTAAAACATCATCTGGGTCAATGAAATGCAGTGTTTCATTCAGAAGGGCCAATGTGGTTACCAAGCTATCAGATTCACAGCGGCTGTTTTGAGAATGGGATAGTAGTGTACTGCGTACTGTATTCACTTTATTGTGCAATGTGGAAGTAAGCAATTTTTTGTGAATGGTGAATGCACGAGACTTCTGTTTCATTAGTTGCTGTAGAACTGGAAGAATAACAAAATGCAACGATAAAACTATTTGCAATACAAACCAGTGCGCTTAAGATTACGACAATGAATTCAAATAATATGATAACAAATACCGCTAACTAGAAGTGGAACATTCAAGTTACAAATGGCCAGACCTTCTCTTACATCAAAAATAAGGTGGATAAAGTGCATATGAAGAACACGTCTGTGTCGTGTTTCATCCCAAACTCAAAAAGAAGATGTAATTAATTTTTTGCATGAAGAAAATTAAGCCCGAGCACCCCTACAATTCTAATTACTGTTCTGCATAAAAAACACATGATCTGATTTTAATGAATATCATTGTTTTACAGTACTGAGAATCTAATGAGAATCATCTGAGAATAGTGCAGTTACAGAAAAACTAATTTAAAATAAGTTTCCACATGCATTTCAATAATGAAAGTTTGGGGGGAAATGGGCCTAATTGTCATTTAAAAAAAGTAATGTCACATTTCAAAATCATATTATGTCCTAAAATAGGCTTCATTTTCTTTTATGCATAGCATTTATCATTCTAACAATGATTTCTAATTTTGTTCTTTTGATTTTGAGGTGAATGTGACGTGATCATGTTTTATCATGTTTTTAATACACTGTGATACACTGTGACTTTTAAAATGATATTTTGCTGTTACATGACTTTGTATTTTGCCATTTTTATTCCAATTTTGCATAAAATCATGTGCTGAAAAGAAAATCATGTGCTGCAGGAACTTCAGTTGAATTGTCCTGACTCCATTGGGTATTTTTGAATGGATTTTTGGTCTAAAATAAGGTCTGTTTTTAACACAAGCTCAAGATATTTTTCACATCTTATTGTACAAGTAAGAGATAATGTACATCCAGCCAGTTGTTATCTCAGAATAAACCCTGACAGGGTGATCAGGATCTTGTATCAGCCTGAAGGGGGTTATTCTGAGATAACATCCGGCTGGATGTACATTATCCCGCTTGTTTCACGGCTACATGACAACTAAGTAAATAATTAGAAGCGAAATATTGATTTGAGTTGAAATATTTGAACGCAAAGCTTCCGTGAAGACAGCAGAACAGGTAACTTAATCTACTTACTAGCCTCATCATTTTCATAATTGCGCTTTTGCAAACTACTCAAACTTTCCAATATCAGCATTCAAATATCATCCATCCAGGTATTCCAAGCATAGAAAATGGGCATATTGTGCATAATAAACGTGCTGCATGCTGCAAAAATAGTAAGATTAGGATGATAGCATGCTATTCTGAGACTCCTGATAGACATTTATAGCTGTGCTTATCATCAGATTTCCTGGAGCAGAGAGCAGCACCTTGTCCCTCATTGTGTTTTCAGTGTCTCACTCTCTCTCTCTCTCTCTCTCTCTCTCCCTCCGATCTCCTGGGTTGCTCTGTAAAAACAGAGGGCTGGAAAATGTCAAAGTTAAAAATGGAAGAGGGCGTGTAGCCACATAAAAGGCATGTGTGCTGTTCTCACCAGTGTGTACTCAAGCACAGATACTGAATGAGATGGGACCAGACAGAATGTGATTAAAGACGTGTCAAAGGAGTTTTTTATATTTTTTATTGTTATTTTTTTATTTAGGTCCATTCTGGTTAGGTGGATCTTATGCCTGGGTCATATATTATACCCCAAAATAAAAAAAAGACTGAATGATCATAAAGATTTTCAAAGTGAAATGATGTAGAGAATCATTTCACCTTTTTATTGTGAATAAACTACATGGGCATTCTTATCATGCTATTTTCTGGAAATACTGAAAATTCTTTTAATGGTGTTTTCTTAACAAAGTTCAGGAGGAGCACGTTCAGATAATGAACCTAATTAACACGAGAGGAGCACAATCAGTAATCAACCCAATTAAAAAGATAAGAGGTGTGTACATATACACAGCAGACTTACCTCTGTTCCTTGACAGTTTTCCAGCGTCTCTTCACCACCTCATCTCCTCACAACTAAGTGGGGGGGTTTACTCTGGGTTCGGGCCAAAATTTCAAGTTCGGAGCCCTCCCCTCGGACAGCACGCCAAATATGCATAACCTTTACTCTGTTTATTATATATAAGTGTGAACTTGTGAACCGTATTTTAGTCATTCTGAACACTAATTTAATTTTGCTCATTAATTCTGCATAAAAAGGACACAAGCACCATAAATTTAGATCATGAGACTGTTATAATGCTTTTACCCCTCTGTATCTTGTTTTACATTAATTTACATTAATGTTTGTAAAATTGATTGGAATTGAATTGACCTTTTAAAGCTGTCTACCATGTAGACTAGGGATGGGCAACTTTGATAGTGACGAGGGCCAGCATTTTTTCTCCTTTACAACTTTTACAACCTTTTTATTGAAGGAAATTAAA